TGCTAAATCTCTTCCAGACACTGATTTTCCTGAGTGTTTCTACTGACCTTCTCTCCCAGATGGAATCAGCCATTGCATCAACTTTAATTCTTCATGATCTTTCTGTAAATGTTTGATGTAAATTACAGGGTTTTCTCCTGCACTGCTTAAAGCATGTGATGGCCTGTTAGGCCATGCTTTCTGCCACATTTTCACTCCTCCCAGTCTCGGTAATGTCAGCTTGTCACAACAAATAAAGCTTTTGTAACACCTCACTAAAGAGGTGTTCTCTGCTTTCCTTTCCCCCCTCTTTTTTTTTGATCATATGAGGAAGGTTAAATCAGGTAACAGCTACAATAGGAGAACTGCTTAACAAACCATTAACAGTTTTCTAGCATAGTTGCAGGCTGTCAGTTAACACCACCTTGTCCTTTTAACTGATCTCAGTAGGCACAGCCACCCACTGAGCAGCTGAGAAAGACATTTTGTTATACTTACCATTTGGTTCTGTGATTTTTGCCCAGTAAGTAGTGCCATTAGGTCTGCAAAGCACCTTAGATCTTCTCTGAGGCATTTATACCTTTTTTTCTTGAAGGACAGTTTAGCTGAGACTGAGGTTGAGGTCTCATTAGATAAAGTCCTGGCTCTTCAAATCTTTCCCTTTTGAAAAGGCGATCAGTTCCATTCCATCATACCTGGCTTATGCCAATTGCACAGCATATCCAGTAAAAATCAGGCACAGGCTTTCCTTGTATTTGCACTTCATTTTACAATATCCTAGATCTAATGTGAGGATTTCCTCTTTTTTTTTTTTTTTTTTTTTGTCAAACTGTTTTATTAAACTGCTTCCAGTAATGTAGTCCAGGGAAAGGAGCTTTCACCTCACTCAGATCAGTTAGATAGCAACCTCTCCCTCTAAACTGCTTAACCTGCTCCTGTGTCTCAGTAACCTCTAAGGATGAGTGAAGTGGCATGGAAGTGAGATCCGAGGCTGGATCCCTATATGATTCTCACTATGGACTTATGCCTATTCCAAGTTGTCCTCTGAGCAGAGGACTCCTTTGCCTGCTGCAGCATGGAACCTGCTTTCATGAGCCTAGTAAGGAAGACACAAGGGCAGTTGTCAAGATAGAAGGATATTGCTTATGAAAGTGATTCAGAGCAGCCCTGCGGAGAAGGACTTGGGGGTGCTGGTTGATGAGAAAATGAACATGAGCCTGCTTCAGTGTGCGCTTGCAGCCCAGAAAGCCAACTGTATCCTGGGCTGCATCAAGAGGAGAGTGACCAGCAGGTCGAAGGAGGTGATCCTGCCCCTTTATTCTGCTCTTGTTGAGACCTCACCTGGAGTATTGCGTGCAGTTCTGGTGTCCTCAACATAAAAAGGACATGGATCTGTTGGAACAAGTCCAGAGGAGGTCCACGAGAATGATCAGGGGACTGGAGCACCTCCTCTATGGAGACAGGCTGAGAAAGCTGGGACTGTTCAGCCTGGAGAAGAGAAGGCTGCATGGAGACCTCAGAGCAGCCTTCCAGAATTGGAAGGGGCCCTATAGGGATGCTGGGGAGGGACTCTTCTTTAGGGACTGTAGTGATAGGACAAGGGGTAATGGGTTCAAACTTAAACAGGGGAAGTTTAGATTAGATATAAGGAGGAAATTCTTTCCTGTTAGGATGGTGAGGCACTGGAATGGGTTGCCCAGGGAGGTTGTGAATGCTCCATCCCTGGCAGTGTTCAAGGCCAGGTTGGATGAGGCCTTGGGTGATATGGTTTAGAGCGAGGTGTCCCTTCTCATGGCAGGGGGGTTGGAACTGGATGATCTTAAGGTCGTTTCCAACCCTAACTATTCTATGATTCTATGATATCACAGCTGTAGTTCTTCTCTCTTCTCACTCCAGTTGCTCACCTACATGGTGAGGTGGCAATTTATAAGCAGCTGAGCTAATGTGCCATAAAAGATAGGATTATTTCAAAATGACAAAATAGGATTAATGTAGTACAGGGAGCTATGGAGTGGACTGTATCATTCCAAGATGTATATGAACATCATTGATGCTTAAGGACACTACTCAGGCTAAAATTCAAACATAGATTCTATATTTGAGTAGATGAAAATTCAGATTGTCACATTCAAAGCTAGAACCATCTCGCTGCTAATAAACACACACAACGTGGACTTGTGGAATCACCCACTTTCTAAAATAAGCTTCCAAATGGCTGTTTAAGTGTGTTAGCCCTTGAAAATTTCTCCTCAGAGCCAATGGGCTCTTCAGATGCATTCTCCTATGGCCCACCGATTCTCAGGATTGTGTTTAAAGACCTTACTAAACCTCTGTTTTGGGTTTGTTCCAGAGGCAATTCTCAGATGTTTGCAGCTTCTCAAATACTCAGACTAATCTGAGCTCATTCTCTGTTCTTCGGTGATTATTATTTCCATGCCATTTTGCAATTCTGACCTACATTTTGGCTTCAGGCTCCTTTTTGTAGACACAGAACTTATATTTTTAATGGGAAAAATAATGCAGGTTTATTTACTGTTTTTTTTTTTCACTCAAATACCTGCAACTTTTACTTAGAAAAAATACTTCTGAATTACTTATGAAATCAGTGCTTTAGACAGAGTTATTCAGAGGGTTTTATCAGTTGAATCTGGCAGGAGAGAAGCCATTGACTGTTTTGGGAATCCATGATTTTCCAGCACTGTGATCAGAGTGTAAGAGGCAGGATCTCCTGAGAGTCCCACAGTCAACAACTGGGACTTAACAAATGTCTGGAACACAAGACTCATCCTAAGAAATCCAAAAGACTTTTCATGTCAAGAGTCGGCTCTGATTAGCTTTGAAGTATTCATTTAGATAGCATACATGAACAAACTTAGCCTATCTCAATGATACTCATTTCTAGTGTGACCTGAGGTTGAAAAATCAGTTGTAATGGGAAATGTGATCGGTAGAACAAATGTAAAAATACTAAATTATGTTTTCCTGCACCAATCCCAAAGATTCCCATTCTGTATTTCATGTTATGAAATTTGCTTCTTGACATGATGGAAAAGCACATTCATTTCCATTGTTAGGGATGTGTAAAATTTGCTGCTATCACTTACATTACCAGACACTTTTACTGTAGAAAATGGAAGGTAATTGGTACTTCAGGCAGGCCACAAATCTTTCCTGGCAGCAGTGTACCACTCACAGTACATTGATTGCAAAAATTAGTTAATTCAAGAGGAATATTATATTCCTTGAGTCCTGGCATAAATCTCTCCACATTCTGCATGAATTACTGCCGTCAAGTTAGAAGATAGATTTCTGTCAGCCTGCTTCATTGTGTGTAATGCTCCTGATTTAGATGCTGCTCATTCCAGCACCTCTTCTAAAACTGATATATATTGCCTATTAAATCCACCAGAAAAGACTTTAAATGGCAGGATTCAATAATATTGGGCTAATTTGCTGCTTTTATTTACTGATCTTCTTAGGGTTGTAAATCCTCAACTGCCTGGTGTTTCCTACTTCATTACCTTTGTGAATGAAAACTAATGAGAGCGTAGTGTTTGTACAAGGATGAGAATCTGTCTTTCTGTACATTTGGGATGCTTTTCATTGTTAGTGTTCAGGAAATGAGGTTTGAAATTTCACTAACACACCTAAGAAATTTTCTCCATGTTAACCTAATGAAAGTACATCTGGGTCTGATATAATGACTGCCTATGGCAATCTCTTGTATTTGTAAGCTTTTACCAATTTCTGAACTTCAAGAGTCATGGCAAATTTTCGTCATTTTTCTGGCATACCTGAGGTTCAAGAAGATAATACAAGATGCATTTGCAGACCAATTATAATTTCTTTACTATGGACCACTGCCTGTGCAAGGCCTAGGATGAGGAGGTTTCAGTAAAAAAAATGAATTGTTATTGTTAATCAAGTCCAGAAGAGAGCCATGAGGATGAGCAGGTGCTGGAGCACCTCCTGTATGAAGACAGGCTGAGAAAATAGGGGCTGTTTAGCCTGGAGAAGAGAAGCTGTGTGGAGACCTCAGAGACCTGAAGAGGGCCGACAGAGAGGCTGGAGAGGGACTCTTCATCAGGAGCTGTAGTGATAGGACAAGGGGTGATGGGTTTAAACCTAAAAAGAGGAAGTTCAGGTTAGAAATAAGGAAGAAGTTCTTTATTGTGAGGGTGGTGAGGCACTGGAACAGGTTGAGCAAAGAGGTAGCAAGTGCTCCATCCTTGGCACTGTTCAAGACCAGGTTGGGCAGAGCTTTGGGCAACATGGTCTGGTGTGAGGCACCCCTGACAGTGGGAGGTGACACTGGGACTAGATGATCTTAAGATCCTTTCCAACCCAAATCATTCTATGATATCTGAGTGTGGGTCTTTGGCTCTGCCTAAGTCACTTGGACCCCTGCAACTTCTATGGGACCAGGTTTAACATCAAGGTGATACCTGCAGATTAAATACATTGACTCATGTGTGCATTTTTGGTGCACAACTCAGCACAAACAAACGGGTACAATGTTTTCAGGGGTCAAGCTAAGTTGAACTAATAGTGCTAACACAACAACCGTATAAGGAAGGAAGGTTTTCTGGTGCTCCAAGCAAGCTCAGCTTATTTTGTGAAAGGAGACTGATCTGTTTTGGTACTAGCTAAAAGGGGAACAAATCTGTGAGCCAATGGTGTGAATGTTGTGGTGGGATCAGTCATCAGTGACATTTTCCAAGTTCTTTTTGTTTAAAGAAATTAATGTGCTGGAGATGATGATAGCAGAGTGCAGTAATGGTTGATCTCCTGATCTGTTTTCAGTGGTAAAACAGTACTCTAATAGCCTTGCTGTCTTTTTACATAGAAAGAAAACTCTTTTAATGGTTAAAGTTAAGGATTTATGGCTTTGCTCTGAATTTTTTGTCAGAAAGTTGAGGAACACCATTGTCAAGAGAAGTAACTGTTTTCAACAGCAAAAACAGTCTTTGTTGCAATAAACCATCACAGATGGCAAAATTCACAATTTACCCTCTTCACAGAGTCAGAAAATGCTGCTTATTTGGGGCTATACTTTCTTTTACTGAATCATAACTGATAACAAGAGAATTGAGAGCAAGCTGAAGATGGAAGATGCCTGTCATATACTGTTGCAAAGTGAGGAATGACCATGGCCTCAGATGTTGGATTGAAAGTAATTCTCATCAAGACCTGTTTACTGCTAGCACAGGGAATATAACCAACACTCATCCCCATAAAAAGGTCCACTTGGGAAGATGCAATTATGAATGTGAAAGATAGAGGTAAGAACTTTAGTTTCCATTGATCCAAATCCCATTAAAAGTAAACATGCAGGGAGATTCATGGCGTAATTCTTTGCTGCTATTTTTTTTAGTAGAAAACAGAGCAGGAGCCATGGGAATTGTAACTTAATGAAAAGAGGCTCTTGCATGAGTGATTTGAATGGATTGTGTAGACACTCATCTTAAGCAATGCAAGCACATTGACACAACAGACAATGAACAAAGTGGATGTTATCAAACTTTAGGTCTTTGGTGATCATTGATTAAGAAAAGTCTCTGCACAAAGTATGCAGAATAACTATAATCACCATCCTACCTAGAACTTGCTAACCCCTAAAGAGTAAGTGGATATGAAAGTTGTTATTGCAAAAAATGAAAAAGAACAGACTGAAAACAGTTTTGATGATGGCTGTCTTGGAAGTGCCTGATTTTTCCATTAATTTTCCCTTAATTCTCAGAAAATATCCCTTTGTGAGATTGTCTTATCGAACTGCACAGAGTACTGCATGCCTTCTAAAGATGCATAAGGAATGCCTATGGAAAAATACAGAAAGAAGTTGAAAGCATACATGAATACTCAAATTAGTAAATCTAGTGAGACATTTTGTTCATTTTAGGGAGGCAACTGAGGCACAGATCACATAAGGAATTGGAAAACCCTAAGCTAAAACAGGCAAAAAAAAGCTGAAGACAGAAATCAGCAGATTTCTTGTGACAAATGCCACAAACAGAAGAGCTGCCTCATACTTGAAAAAGTGAGGCAGCAAATGCAACAACAGCTCATAGTAAGTTGTCATAATTAATTCCCACAACACGAACAAAGAATGACAACAATATCGCTGCAGATAAGGAAACTCAGAAGAGTAATGGTCAGTTTTGGACAAAGCTGGAGGTCAGTACTCATGTCAGCATGATCACAGAAAATACTAGCATTTGAGGAGAGACACTGATAGTATCAGGCAAGTGGACAAAACCAAAGATTTTGATTACATTCAGGTTTACTACAGTTAGCCCCCCTGAGGAAGCATATGAAATCAGTGCATGAGTAAATAATAAATGTTTGAAGCTGCAGCCCCTAAGATTACATAGAATAAAATGTATAATTCATTAAAACATGTAACTTCTCAGAAAGCAGAAAACTCAAACAACAAAACTAAATACCAGAAACGTATTCCAGGATTTAGGGAAGCTTCTTAAAGAGAACAAATAGAACTGGAAACACCTATTGACAAACCCCTTGGAAAAATGTAGTCTTGCAAAAACAAGGGTAAAAGCAATAAAAGAGCAAAGCCACTTGCCTCAGAGTCACAGAACAAGCAAGAGAACCAAGAGGAATGACATTACATATCAGTCACTGGGAACAAAAGAATTAGTACTTTCTCTCTACCTATTCACTCCAAATATCAAACTAAAGATAGATAGATAGATAAATAGATAGATAGATAGATAGGAATGTTTTTGACTAGTTAAACAAGGACATTCTTAAATGGCTTTCACAGTGGATGCATTAACTGTGGAAAAATATTTGGTATCAGTAGATTTTGGCCAGTAACCTTAAGAAACAGAACACACTTTCACATTAGGGAATGCTATTTCTGAAGACTGGCTTCTGGGCTTTGTCTGGGCACATGATTTCTTTCACTGGAAAATAAAACACATTTTTGATAGAATAGATGGTAAGTCTTCACAGATGATGCTTTGATCTGTGGAAATGCTGTAGAAGAGCACGACTGCAGGCTTCATGTAGTTTTGAAAAGCTGGCAAAACAAATAAAAATGTAAATTATCTGCATGAGAAATAAAATTCCTAGAAGCAAGGTGCTCAAGCAGATCAGATAAGAATAAGGCTTCTACCAGCATTCTAGTCCTTGTAGATAAAATACAATCCCTATGATTTTTTTTAATGATTCCTAGACATGGTCATGAACAATGGTAGGGAAATTAGTTAAGATAGTTCAAAGTCTGTAGATGTTCAAAGAGAGGCCTCTGAGTTGTGGAAGTATGTTCACAGGATGCAAATTTGAATAGAGCCAAATGAAATTAAGGTATTCAAGAAACACTAAATTTGATATCCTTAGGAAGTTTAATACTAAGCTAGTTTCAACACAGACAGCAGGATGGTAAGAACTGGAGATTAGTATTATATTCTATATTATTGTTATATTTTATATAATTATATATATAATTTATAATATATTATGTAAATTGAGTATGTTACATTTAATCCATGAGTATGAGAAGCTTAGTGTCTATTCACAGAGGTCCCTGGAAGCTGTCCATAAACCACTTCTTGCCACTGAAAGAGAAAGGCTTGACAAAAACAGAGATTAGTTCTAAATGCATATATATGTTCTCTAAATAGAATATAAATGTGGGACGTACTTTGTAGCTGAAGTACAGAAGATGAGAAGAGCAAAGTTCCAAGCTAGGTTGTAGGATTTTCGATTTTGCTGTCAAAGAACACTATTCTGTCTGGGACAAGATGTGAAATAAGATTGTCAATACTAATGCTGAGAATGGAGAGCTTGCTTGATTTGACTGATGTTTTTAGCAGCGTGAGATTTGGAAAGCATTCTGGACCTTCTTTACTTGCTTGGCAGGGAATTTTCAGGACTAGGATGGGATCATTAAAACATTACACAGAAACAATGAAAAAGTTACACAAAGATCATCTGAGGACTAAAAAGTGAACGGAAGAGCAACACTTAGGAAGCTCTGAAGGACTGTCACCAGAAGTAGAATCCAGCAAAATTTCCATACTGATAACACAAGAAAACTATGGTCTTTGAAGCAGAACATCTTCTAAAAGATAGTTTAATTTCTGTGAGGCAGCCTTTGCAGAACGTGTTACAGATAAACAGGTGCTTATGCATATCCAGTTTCTCTAGAGATGATATACCTCTAACAGTAATGTTTTACAGTTGGGTGATAATTTAGCTGGCAGTGAAGTTAAGCATTCTGCAATTAGATATATGTATAAATTATTACTGCTGATCTGTATTATCTCCAGTCCAATGATTTGATGGAAGACAGTGTCAAAGTATTAAGTATATGCAAAGGATGCAAGATGGCTGAACTGCAGGACATGCCTTCACTAAAATGAATTGCTTTGCTATATCTGTAATCACCATTCAAAAATCCGCAGGTTTATATAGGATATGATATTCAAAGTACCACCTGAACTTCATTGCTTATGAGGCTTTTTTTATAGATTGAGAATTCAATGCTAATCAATAACAATATTATGTTGATATCATGAGCAACCATGAGTGAGATTTGGACAGATGCCACTAGAGAGACACCAAAGTTCCAAGGTTAATGGGTAGCCAGCATGTTGTGCAGAAGCTCATGATGAGCATTTAAACTCAAGCAATCCCAAACACCACACAGATCCTCGTAGCAGTAACAAATACAACATGAAACAAAAGTGTTGGGTTTTTCTTCACTTTGTGTGTTTGTATAACAAGCGTCCTTACATGTTGACAAATAGCACGGCTGTTAATCATGGAAAGTATAGACTGAAAAGCACCTTGATTCATACAATCAGTGTATGCAGGGACAAGTGAGTTCTTGTCTGACAGGATTATCATGTGCCAGGTTCAATCTTGACTGATTTACATGAGCTAATCTTTGAGGGGAAGTTCTGTCCTAGTAATTCCACTACTTCAAAGGACTTGCTGTCCTCCAGCCGAAATTCCAGGTGTTTAATCCCAGTTTCATCATTGTACACAGCCCCAGTGCTCAGGTTATTGAAATCTGCAGGGGTACTTCCAGCTTCTTACTGTAACTTGCTTAGATTCTCTTAGTACAGAAGACAAATCCTGCGAGAAATAGCATTCTCTCTGCTACTTTAGACAGACACTGTGTTTAATTTCCTCAGGGTAGTAGAGGAATGGTTGATTGCAATTGCATTGGCAGATGCCTTTCCTCTCTGCTTTGAGGCTTTTCTTGTTTTGTGGCTGTGGCTCAGTGAAGCAAGAGGAATGAATGACTCCTCCGACAGGCACAGTTTTCCAGTGGCTCAGATGGAGCCAATGAACAAACATGGACTTCAGGGTAAATAGTGTCTTCACAAGTATATGTCAGATTTTGCTCTCTTTCATGTGCAGAAACCAAAGATGAAGTGACAGATTGGCTAGACATTCAAAATGTGCTGATTTTCCCTGCATTCTGAAACAGCAGAGCAGAAGAAGACTGCAATGAGTTGTAACAGGATCACTACAGAGCAAATGCACAGCATGTTTATTCATAAACCCTTCTTTAATGTGGTACATCATAAAATATATTGAAATTTGCAAGTAGTTTTCTTCCCTAAGGGTCAAAAAGTATTTTGCATTCATTAGCTACTTCCAGAAACTAAAAGAAAATCTCTGGAAGCGGGGAGTGAGATCTGTTTAGGGCAGGTAGCAAAGTGTGCCCAGATGAAGCTGAAGAATTCTTCAGGATTTACCAACTTCTCTAGTGCATTCATGTACAGTAGAAAGCTACCTTAGCAGAAGGCAAATTTTAGTGCTAAAAGAACCCATTGATCAAGGGTAAAAAGAAATTATTAGGGGATTCCAAAAGCATCACCAAATTGTGCTGAGGAGATCTTGGTGTGTAGATGTCGAGTTACATCCCTACCCCCTGTTACAATCAAGGTTAGGAGAGGTGCACCTCAGTAACCTGAGCAAACTAATAAGCATCAAAGGAAAAAGCCCCAGGGCTGTTTATCCTTCAATTACTACGGCTTTCCTGCTAAGAGTAAAATTAGAAAGATGAAAATGCAATTAACGTCCTACCCACACCAGAAAGTTGAGCTATTTACTGTGTATTTTTTCCATTAACTTTATTATTCAGTCAATATAGTTTGTATCAAATTAACCCTGCAGCTGTTACTTGCTCCTCTTCTGAAAACTAGCAAATCTTGCATTATCCTGAATTCCAGTTTCTTGTCCCTTTCTATTCTATTTA